CTGAGGTTTAGGCCCAACGAACTGATCTGATACGTGTACGTAGTCCACGCAATCGTGATACTTCGCTATGAGCATTGAAATCTGAAAAGAAAACGTTTCATTGAAGTTACTTTAAATGCTAAATTGCATACCCTGGAATCAATCAACGAAAAACTGACTTCTGGCAGTTCAGAGAAGACGGTAAAATTTGGAGGCAAACCAAACTTTTCGCCATTTTTTCTTTCTGAGCAATAGAGACTCTAAATGTCAGAAGAATAGCCTACGCCGAAGGCTTTAGTTATCAAGACAAAACAGCTTTAGAAAAGATTTACTTTACACTCAAAACTTGAATATACTAAAGCCGAAAAAGACTCACTCACTAAAACCGATATTACTGGGATAATAGTGCGCCAAGATTATGCACTGACTGAAATTTAACAAATACATTAGCCTAACAAAGATTATAAAACTTTAACCTTTCTGACTGAATACGAAATGATGAAAAATTTTAGCTGATGAAAAATACCTATTGCACTGAAATCTGTCTATCAATCGGTTCAAACCAGCCGGAACCAAAAAATTGTCCATGTTGGTCCGCTGCCGCACTGATCCCTACAGACATCCATCACCTTGTAAAGCACAAAGGAAATAAATGCGGCGGTGTGAAACTGATCAGTTGCGCTTGAAGACGGTAAATATATTTACAGCACTAGGCTAGGAGGTAGAAACGATCCACTTTCTTCATAACGTTTTCCTTTTAGTAAAGACTGCGACTTGAAAGTCTAGAATTTAGACATTTGAAGAAACATTGATGAACAGCCGCTAATTCATCAGACTGATAAGTTACAAATGCGATGCTCTGGGCACTTTTGCAATTAGCGAAGGAGACTGTACACTACTTGCTAGCTATTTCCTCTATAGTTCCTTTATGGCGGAGACACGGAAATACAGATCAGCGCCTATCATTAACGCTATGAAAAGAATGGGGCCAGAAATGCTAAAGGAAGACCGACATTCCAATGGTTAAAAATCTTCCTAATCTCTTTCGCCTACTATTGTCCCGCTGACAAAGCAACACCTCTGAAGC